TGACCGGGCTTGTTAGTGTGACCATGGAAGAGAAAGCAAGGAACTGGATGGATGGCATGAAGGAGGAGATAGGAAATCAAGAATTCAGTTCTGGCCAACATAAGTTTGAGATGCCCATTAAAATCCAAACAGGGGCAGCTGGGTGGCTCAGTCTGTTAAGCATCCAACTTCAGCTCAGGTCATGATCTCGCAGTTCATGAGTTCCAGCCCTGAGTAGAACTCTGTGCTGATAGCTCAGAGCCTGGAGCCTGCTTCAGATTCTCTGTCTCCCTCTCTCTCTGCCCTTCCCCTGCTCATTCCCTTTATCTCTCTCTCTCTCTCTCACAAATAAATAAAGCCATTAAAAATTAAAACAAAATCCATATATGCCAACTGGGTAGGGACATATAGTTCTCAATAAAGACATAAGGGGTTGCAAATATCAATTTGGGACAGACAGGCATATAGATAAAGTGCAGAGAAAGATGTGCCTTTCCAACTCCACACAATCTCTGTTCTCCAGAAAACATGATTCTGGTAGTGAGGTAGCTATTTTCCCATTAAATACTAAAAACAGGCTCAAATAATCAGAAAATGCCAGAAGTTGGCCCAGGATTCTAATTGTCTTATTCCAAATGAAGGAAATACAAGAATTCTTTCTACAGAAGTCTTCAGAGGTTCTACCATCAGCCCGGATTGAATCAGCCTATTGAATTTAAATATATTCAGCAGGAAATTATAGAGCATTTGCATTACAAAACCAATACCGGGACCCCATTTCCTACCTTTGTCATCCGGGCTTTACGCAAATAGGTAAGAAGGTCTCCTCCTTCCATCAGTTCCAGGATAATGTACTGGGGTTCATTCAGCAGACAAACTCCAAGCTGCTTCAGAATGTTGGGATGGTTAAATTTGCTAAAAGGTGGAAAGAGACAGACAGGATGTTGTGACAGTAACAGACACCCTGGCTGAGAGCCTTTGGGAAATAGAGCAATTCTTTATCGTTTCCTCCAAAATTCCTGTTGTTGTTGTTGTTGTTGTTCTCTAATAAATGGAAGTCTCCTTTTCCCAGTACTGTCCTGTGTGCCTGCCTTAGAGAGATGATACGGCAACCCCTAGTGGCCAATGCATACCAATAGAATAGGGTGATCTTTAGAAAAAACGTTTATATGAACTATTTCATGTTTTGGAAAAGAAAGTAATTTTAACTAGTATCCTTCTTCAAAAGATATTTGGAAGTATTACCTTTTGGGTCATCACAGGTATGGAATGTTATTCTCTTCCTTTTGGAGAAGCAAGTCAGACATGCAGGTTGGCTTCAACCAACTTTCTCAATGCGTTAAAGCCAGTAAGCCCTGACCTGCTGATTAGAACCCACAGCATGGATCCCATAGACCACTGCCTCAGGCCATCCCTTTAAGATGCCTCTGAGCAGTTTTCATGACCAGCAACTGACTCTACCCTTGAAGACAAGTTTACCAAGACAGAGGATATTTTCCCTGACATCATTGTACTTAGAGCTCTCCCTTCCTCCGTCTACTTGACCCATTATCACACGGTTCAAAGAACATAAGCATGCTTAAAGCTAAACAGCTTCAGAAGTCACTTGAACAACACACTTCTTATCGAAGGTAAAAGAAGAGAAGACCTTTTGCCTGAGGACTGCCTTTTGAAAGACTGGCTTCTGTATAATACTCATCACTACAGACTATTTATTTATGTTTAAACTTGAGCCATGTTTATTTTGGGCATGATCTGTTACGTCAGGTCATTTTGAATGTTAAAAATTTACCAATCGGATATAAAAGCTTGCCACTCATACCAAGGAAAAATTAATCCAGAGCTTCCCCGATACCTCATCAGATGTGCCTCTTTCAGGAATTCAATCTTCTCCTGGTCTGTGGAGCCCTTCTTCAAAGTCTATGCAACATAAAAAGAAGCCAGGAATCAGTATAGCAGACATTTCTGTGCTCAGTGGGTTAATGGAGACCATCTTTGTTTTGTTTTGTAATATTCACCCTGACAGCTGGAAATAGATCATGGGTAATACGTGCGCATGTGCTCTGTAAACTTAAAGTTAGCTGGTGTTATACCCAGTGTTCATGTGAGAAAACCTGACAGATAAATGATTGAGTATCACTTAAACAAATTCTCTCCAAAATGTAGACATTTTTACAAATTTGGTATGTAGGTCAGTTTCTTGCTTTTCAAAGTTTTCTACTCAATATCTGTTTCCCCCTGCATCCTTGTTAACAATACCCAATTTGTTTCTTAGAGGCATGATGCCCAGTCCCAAACAATTGGTCTAAGCTAATCATGAAAATTGTGTTTTGTGATTCTCCGGCCTTCCTTGCAAATAGGGGCAGTCATCTGACTCAATTCCGGTCAATGAGGTATAAGGGGAAAACTGCTAAAAGGGGAAAGAAGCTTTTGGAAAACTTTCACTTTTTGAACATATACGTCTAACGTTATCCTTACCCTTTCCCTTAACCTGAATGAAGATGTGATGCCTGATCTTTGGCAACCATCTTGGGACCATGAGGCAAAACACATGTACAAAGTCAAGAGAATTTCAGATTTACTGGTTCTGACCTAACACAGTACTGCACAAAGCCAGCAGTCCTCTCATTAGGTGAGAAAAATAAACACTTGTCTACACCAGTTGAGGCTACAGTAATTTAAGTCCTTTTAGATGATATCATTTGGAAGTGGAGAAGATTTTACTAACTTTTCTAGTTGTATAGCCCACCCTCAAAGCAACAAATTCCTAAAAAGCAGTGATTAGGATATTGCTCAGTTCCATAAAGGATTCATCATCCCTCAATCAAAAGGTTTTACACAAATATGAGAATATACCCAGTGCTTCCTTAAAACTACATTAAATACACCATGATGAATAACCGTATAGTACAGTGGTCAGCAAACTATAGCTTACAGAACGATTCCAGCCTGTCACCTATTTTTGTACAGCTTGAGATCTGAAAATAATTGTTAACTTTTAATTTTGTATTTTCCCAGCTTTACTCAGGTATATTTGACATGTTACTTCTTCAAATGTTTGGGGGAAAAGTAAAAAAAAAAAAAAAAAAAAAAAAAAAAAAAAGAATATTTCTTAACACATGAAAATTATATGAAATTCAAATTTCAATACTCATAAACAAAATTTTACCAGAACACGATCACACTCATTAGTTTACGTATTGACTGGAGCTGCTTTTGCACCGCGATGGTGGAGTTGCATAGTTAAAACTGACACCAAATGGTTAACAAGCCATCGTTGTTTACTATCTGCCATAGAACCTAAGACACTGAGAAGGTGCTTTTACAACCCCCATTCTCTTATAAGTATATTTGCAGGGGAAAACTGCCTGCTGAGTCTTAGCAAATTAGTAACTTTAGAGGTAAGTGAATTACAGGGCTTATGTAAGAAATGGAAGAAAAATTATAATTTCTGGAGTCAGGCGTGGACTTCCACCTTCTACCAGTTCTCTTTCCAATTAAGATCACTCATGTTTTATTATAGTTTCGTCCATGTAAATTCATGTAGATATGTTGGGCCAGCATGTCAAGGAATTAAAAGATCCACGTTACCTTCACTGCTACTTTGGTTTCTCCACTTCCAGCCCCTAAGATGTCTACTGCTGTCCCTTCATACACTTCTCCAAAGGCCCCGCTTCCCAACAGGAGACGCAGAGTCAGTTTTTCCCGAGGGAAGGCAGGAAGACTTTCAATCTCCTCTTGGGTTGGAAGAGTACTGGAAAACAATATTTTTGGTTTCCCAAAATACATCTGGTTTACAAGTTGGTGTTGGTGTCAGTGTTTGAGAAATAAAGAGTATGAGAAAGAGAAAGAGAAATCTCATGACTTTGCAACATTGTTCTATGTAATATAGCGATGTGGAATTTTGTGTTTCTATTCCTTCCCTATTCCACCAACCAGAATATTCCTTCCCTATTCCAAAACACAGACAGAGCATGCCACTTCACTTCTAGGCACCGTTATCTTGATAGAAACATGCATATGCATGCATTGCCTCAAGAGTTTTAACTGTAGTTTGTTTTGTTAAAGTTATGAGTTATTAATTTCTTTGGGTTATCAATTCATGTAAAAAACTATTGCAAATTAGTAATAAATATATCTGGGTTTATGAGCCTAAAAACTTTCATGTTAACTATTTCACACACCTGATCTCTTATGTAGAACATTTAGCATGACCACAAAAATCAACTCTTTCTCCATAAGGTTAACTTTTAGAAGCCAACTCTCACCTGGAATATTATGAGGGGGAAAAATTGTCTGAATTTAAAATGCTTTGAGTTTTTGAAACAGAATCTTGAATATAGATTTGCGGAGTATTTTCTCAAGGAAAAGTCACCTCTGAATCACTAATTTAGATCGCCTCTGGGTCTACTTTTAAACTTCCATCTTTATGTCTTGGAATTATAAATTTCAAGGCCTATGACTATATAATTCTTTTAGCATAGGCCATAATATAGTGTCTTGTATAAACCGCAATATAGTGTCTTGGATAAAAAGACATTTAAATATTTTCTTTAACTAATGACAGCAACATAAGTTCAAATTCAACGATCTTAAAGAGCTTTTGTAGGCAATCACCATACAACGTTTGAAAACAGATTAAGATTGACTTAACGGCACAGGCATGGGACCCTTGGAGTTCCTCTCTTCTAGTTGCCTCCAGTTGAACCAAGCGTGTTACCATCTGTTCTCTTCAATACAGTATTTATTTCCTTGTTTCATTTATTTTTTAACTATGTGATAAAACACTGGAAAACAATGACATTTTGATGATCTTCTTTACACTAGCATAACCACATAATTTGCCATCCATCTCAGGTCACATTTGAAAATGGAAGGGGTTGTTATTAATAATTATGCCAGAGTAATGAGCATTACTCTGGACAGGACCAGGACAATCCTGGGATCCATGAGCACTCTCTTTATAGTTGCCCACTGTTCTCTAGGTGCCCCATAATGATGGCCCCGGTTACATACTGTATCGCATAGCAGGCATTAGCCAGTCCTACTCCAGCGGCCAGCCCTCGAAGTTCAGCCAACTCTTTGTCTTCGTGTATGAGACCCGTCAGCCCTTCCGTGGGAGTTTCTTGCTTCTTTAATTTTCTATGCCAGACTATAAAATAAAAAAGGACATAATTTACAAAATGAAACATTGCTTTATTTCTGAAGAAATGTTAACAATACATTTGAAACGTTTAGATGTAAGAACACCATTGATAGGATAACAGAAATTTGATTGAAAAATTTGTCCAGAGCAGAAAAACAAATTAAATCTAGGTAGAAAGACATATAAAAACACATAAATTATACCACGTCCCTTCTTACCTTGTGTCGCAAACCAAAGCTTAATGCATTTCTTATTGCTGTTATAAACAAGTTGAAGTCTCTTAATATCAGAACTTATTTCTCAAAATCACCCCTAAACTAGAGTCAAAATAAGGCAAAACTAATTTGCATTATAATTAGTAGTGAAACAAATTTATATCTGAGTCCAGATATGTCCAGGTTATACTCTCAGAGTAGATCTGAGGAACACTTTCAATATAATGGCATGCTTTTTTTTTTCAGAGTACAAGAGTTTACACCATTGTTGTTCATATACACATACTCAAATATACAGGAAAAACTATTGCAATAAAACTCATCAAATATAAATTATCTTCCCTAAGCTGTGAAATCATGGATGATTTATATTATCTTCTTCATACAATGAGCACATATTATTTTCATAATCATAAAGATAAGTGATTTTTGGAAGATTAAAATACAATTATAAGGTCAACCATCTATACTAGAACATTGGCACAAAAGTTGAAAACAGCAAAGATGTTTTGTAAGATGATCGTTAAAGTCTGAATTTCATTCCAGAATAGCTTCTGTTTCCAACAGGTTAGAGTTTCGTTCAAGCGAAATTCCATCTGAGGGACCACATGGGGGAAAGATCTTAAGTACCTTTGCCAATGCAATTTTTCAAACCTGAAAAGCTCTCACTCCCCCCCTTCATTTTTAAAGGCACAGCTCAGGCCCCCATCCTCATCCTCAGCGATGCCTTCTAAGACCTCTGCAACTCTGCTGATCTCTCATTTACGAATTTACAAGACCACTTGTAGCTCTCAGTTAGCACTTCTATGTCAGTGTCCAGTGCATTTCCTGTACTATTGCCTTTTATATCTCACTCTTTATAGTTTCACACAGGTTATGTCTCATTAAACGGCAAGCTGCCATGATAAGCAATTGCATTTTACAACTTATTTCCCTCTGCTCCCAACATGAGGCTAATGTTGCATGTTAGATATGACCACTCACCAAAGCGAAGGCTGTCGATGTTTATTTTTAAATACTTGCTTCAATTTTATATTTGTAAGTACGATTGCTGAGAGCCCTCCGCCCAACACAGATTTTTAAACAATTGCCACTTCTCATTATTTTAATAACTCAATCTTTTCTCATGCACTCACACACTCAGACTAGTCAAACCACATGCACTGCTGCTAAAAGCAAAGAACCAAATTAGCTTAACTGTACTACAAAATTCGTAAGTTCCAAATAGAATAGAGACCTTTAAATCCTGAGAAAGTCAGATATCCATGGGATGTCTCGAAAGCACAATATAGGTTGTCTGAAATTATCTCATGCTCACCCACTAGAGTTATGGGTTTAAACAGTGGTGATGTACAGTAGGCAAGCAAAGGTCAGATGGAAGATTCTTCCTGTAATACTCCTTCCCCGTAGGAAAGCAGACAAGCAGTCAAGCCTATATGCCAACTGCCAAATATACTACAGCCGTACGTGTAATTCTGGAGGGGCCGGCTTAGTGGCACTAGCATCAGCTGTGCAATACTTAGACTCCCTGGAACCACAGGTTAAGATCCTGGCAGGGTCAGCTGAAATTTTTAGCTTTCCAAGTGAGCTAAAGGAGTTCCGTATATTATCTGGGTGGAATCTGTGAAAAGAAATCTCAATTCAAGTTTCAGTGTGCTCTCTGATAGCTTACCACTCCAATCAGTTTGGGGAAAGAATAAAGATTCAGACCAGTTAGTAAAATCCTGGCTTTCTTTATCCTGAGCGCTAAGTTTAGCTTTACGTTGGTAACTTTTCCTTAAACTTTCCCTTCTTTCCCTTATGCAGGAA